GGGTGGAGGGTTGGCAGGGTCCCCAGGGTAGGTATTGCTGGGTCGGAGCGGGGAGTAAGTCAGGGATCAGAGGGAGGAGGGATGGAAGCTGCAGCTGCGCCTGTTTTTCCCCTCTGCAGCTGGACGGTGTAATCTTTGAATGCCCCATTTCCACTTAATCTGAAGGCGTTGTCCCGGCCCCTTGGGAAGGGGGAGGAAATCCCCTCCCACGCAGGAGTGGGCGGCCGCTGCCCTTGGCAAACATGGGAGAAGGAGCACTCCAACCCCTTTGCGTGGGGAGGGGGGGGCTCCCGAGCCGCGGGGCAGCTCCTGCTTCAGGGCGCTGTCCCTGGCCCCATCCAGAGGGCTTGGGGAGCCTTTCCCTGGGAAGGGGGAAGGATGGATGGGGAAATGTCAGCGTGGGGTGGCCCCAGAGCTTGGTGCTTCCGTGCCCCCGGTGCTGGGTGGGACCGTTCGCCTCATCGCTGGGGTTTGGGTGGGTTCGGGTGTGATGCTCTGGAGCGCTTCCCTGCCCGCGGGGCAGGGCTGGCTGCACCCGAACCAGTCGGGCACGGGCTCATCCCTGGCTCCCGGTGGGCACGGGGAACCCGCAGGGAGTTGGGTCTAGGTGGGGTGAGAGGGGATGCGGGACCTCTTGCCCAGCTGTCCCCATAGCACCAACACAGACTGCGACTCCCGCCAACCCATCCTGGAGGCTCCGGTGCCTCCTCCGTGCCTCAGTTTCCCCTTTCACATCACAGGCTTGTGCCCTGGTCCCTCGCAGCCTTCGAGGTCCTGCAGGACCGAGGGGTGACCCGGGTGGCTCAGTTGTTCCCCCCTGCCCGCGGGGTCCTGCCGGGCCGGCAGAGCCGGTGCAGGAATGTGGGGCTGGGAGGGTCCGGCTCCTCGGGACGGGCGGTCCCCGCTGCGGGGGCACTGGGGGCAGTTCGTCCCCTCGGCAGTGGGACGGGGTGAGCGGAGCAGAGAGGCACATCCAGCCCCAGCGGGAGGACGCCATGGAGCTGCCGTGGGTGCTGCTGGCGCTGGCTGGGACGGGCACAGCCGCGGGCCTGGGTGACTCCCTGGGGGACAGGGCAGAGGGGGACGGGGGTCTGGAGAGCCAGGGAGGGGGTTATGGG